TACTACTCGCATGCGAAGGTATTTTTTTTTTGCTTCGTGCGTGGAATTGCGTAGCCAACCATTAAAGTTAGCGCGATCGCGTGTTTTGTTATTATTAATTCGAGTCGCGGTGAAGTTTGGGCGACCGTTTGCCAAGGAAAATCTGAAAACTCTCGAAAATAACACTCAGTTGGTAATTTCAGAATCAATAATCCTTGATTCTGCGCTCCGATTAGTCTCGCACGATTTCCAAGATTTCTTCGGTCGGAATCGCGTAATTCATTCCGAAGTGGAAGATTTCAGCGCGTAGGTAAACAATGGAAACGACTGTGGTGTCGTAAAGTGATGCTTAGTTCACTAATCTTGAAGTACGAATCCAAACTCGATCCTATCGTTTAATGTTCGCTTCTTCTTGTGGTGGATGGTTGAAAACACCCGAAGGTATATAGTAAATACCTCTTGTGGTGTTTACCATTTATAAATAAATATCTATACATTCTTTCATTGGTTACAAATGTATCGATATAAAATAACGAATTTGACTGTTCGCGTTCGCGTTTACCAACAAAAATATTAGTATTAGGTTGTCCCGAAAGTTTCTTTCGCGAGTTGCACTCAATTATTTGATGTGGTCGTGTTTCTATAAATAGACAATCTAATTTCATAGATATTCATGTTGTAACAGTAATGGAGCACAATGAACCGTGCACAATTCAGTAATGTAACATAAAACATAAAATATTGTGCATGTACATTACTGTACACTGTGCATTACTTATTAATAAAGCGAAAGAAACTTTTGGGACAACCTAATATTATCAAGTTATGCTCCCTTCGAAACCATACGATATTCATGTAAACCAATGTTTGTTAAGGTTATTAGTTACGGAATTATCGAAGATATTCTTGATAGTTTTCATGTTGGTTACATGAAATGAGAAACTTGAACGTCAATGGATAAATAGTAAAGAATATAATAAAAATTGTTATCATCCTATCTCTTGATAAAATACAATTGACGCTTGTATTGACAAACCTTTTCTTTATGAAGTTGCTCGTAATTTCATTTTTTTACTTTGAAAGCTGTTGCAACTATTGAAGTGAAGCCTATGTTTTTGACAAATTACTGAAAGGAAGTATAATTTTCTATTTACACACAACTCAGGCATTCTAGTAATTGCTATGGAAAAATACTGCTTATCCTCCTGTAGTTATTTATAGACCTTCTATTAAGTATTGGAAGAAAACTACATTCTCGATAAGATCTAAAAATGAAAATATAGATATCGCTGTTTTTAGAAATTCAGAGTATCCTATACGTTAAATATGTAATATACAATGATTGTTATGTTTAGAGTATAAAATTTCTATTTTAATTTCAATTTTAAGTCGTTTGGGCGACTTCAAAATCGATGATTATAGTTCGATACATCGACGCGTCGCACAGTGGTTCGGATGGCCAAAAAGACGGAAAAAACTCAATATCTCGAGAACGGATAATTCTATCAATCCGACACTAGTCTCATTCGATTCAGCATCAAAAAATATATTAGAATTATGTACAAATTATTTTAATAAAAAAAAAGGTAATTTTTATAATAATAAGTCAATAGCTTCTTCGCTAAGGGGAATGTGTCTCTTTTTAAGTTCAGGCCTCATATTCGTATGTTTGGGTCATTGAACCTTGTTTTAGTGGATTTTTAACAGAACAAAATACAGGTTTTTTGTGTTTTTTAATCATCGTACATTTTATCTGTCGTGGATTTGTTCGGTATTTACCAGTCCATAATACGTCCTTTAAACATGAGCCAATTTTTGCGAAGGATGTCTCAAAAATAATGTCACACTTTCATCAGAATGGATTTTAGAAGGAATTCGCAGATTCTCAAGATTTGAGTATTCACACATACTTGAGAATAAAATTATGTAACACCCGAAAGAGCAAGTAGACGCAGCTGAAATTTTCATCATGTTTTCTTAGTGTAATATAGATGAGAAAACGTGAGAAATCAAACCGGAGACTGTCGGAGTTTTTTTTGAATCAATAATTTTCATAAAACATTCGAAAAACCTGCATATTCGCTTTACTCATCATTTTCTTTTCCTTGGCCTAAACAGTAAAAAGTCATGTTCACAGATTCTTACTAGACATTATTAATGACCGATCAATTCAGTTTTACCCAATCATAAGTGAAATCCGAATTTTTTTTCAAAGTAACCCAAATTTCAGCATTTCGACTGATTTCCAACTTTGATAAATTATAATTTCTTTCAAAATTAAAATTTAAAACAACCATTTTAACTTTCGAAAATTGAGTTTTTTCCGCGTTGGGACCACTGTGCGTCGCGCCACATGGGTTTCCCCGTGGTTATTATCGCGTACTTAACATATTGCCTGGTACTTGAGCAATTTTTAAATTAGATAGGGACTCATTAACGCTTCCTCGTTTTGTGTTCATTTTTCCTACCAAACAAAACAAAAATAACAATAGTTTGAAGGAATTCCAATTGGAACGGTTGACAACAATTTTGTTAGAATACAAAAGTATAAATTCGATGAGAATATTTTTTTAACTTTTCAATTCATGAACAAAAATCTCGTGACCGACTCTAAGCTCCTTTACATCTTGCATAGTGCTAAAAAAAATATTACATTTGCCAGGAATATGAAATATAATTATTTATAATATACATATGTAAAACATCTTCAAATTTCATTCTGGACATATTGTTACGCCGGGGGGTTGAAACACGAGAATCCATGTTAAACTATATATAACGTTTATTAACAAACTTTTAACGATTTAACAATAATTCAACGATAAACTTAGAGACTTGTAGCGATACGTCTTCTCTCTTTGAGATCTCAAATCGCTCTTTTCTATTTTAAAAGTTTGCCGCTTCCTGGCAACCGGAAGCGCGGGAACTCGTTTCCGCAACTTCACATCGTCGCAACATTTTTTCGCACCGTCGCGACGATGTAACTCGGAACTGTAGTGCGGCGTTTTCATACTGTCGCAACAATATGATTCCCATGGGTAGGCAATGCGTTGCATGTAAACCTTGTTACAAGAGTCTTGGAATCGATACAAAATGGAATTAGCAATTTTCGCTCCAAGCTAACGTAGAAACCGCGTTATAAGAGTGTTTACCGTATAACTAATGGCGCTCAGCCGTTCTGAGATTTAAACGGCGCGCAGCGGGTTAAGGTAGGTCGATCGACGATTTAAAAGGAAAAATCGTGGGCGCGCGTCAGACATCCTAGGGAACCGCGTCGGCGCCGGATGCGCGCGTTCTCTCCCACATCAACAGCGTTAACCTTGATCCTGTAGCGACCGAGGCACCGTCGACGCAAGACGATTATAAACCCGATACGTGGATAATGATGCAGAAACGCGTTCGATGTAAATGGATTTGGCATGTGCGATGGGAGAGGCGAGAATGGTTTCGCGGGCGAAAAAGGAGACGAGTGAAAGAAAACGAGGAAAAAACGAGCGCCAGGGTTGTGGAGGGGGGCAAATGTACACATGGGGATAGAAAGAGAGACACCGCGGGGGTACACACCGCGGTAATTATAGAGAACAGGTACATCCTCACCGATTTCAATGATTTTTAAATATGTTATAGAAATCAATATTTTGAACAAGTTTTTCCTATACATATTAGGTTGTCCAGAAAGTTCGTGCCAATTTCTAAGAAACATTCAAAAACACGTTTGAGTTTTAATATACAGGGTGTTCCAAAAGTCGGGGAGGAGCCGAAAATGAGGGGTAGCTGAGACGATTCTGAACAACAATTTCCTTTGCAAAAATGTCGGATGGGGCTTCGTTAAGGAGATATTAAGAGAAAATCCCGACCAATCAGAGCGCGCGTAGAGCGTTCGTGCGGCCGCGGTAGCGATGGCTACGCGCTAGGCGGCAGCGTAAATGTCCTTCGATGCACGTCGAGTCACTTGTTCGCGTACAAGCGCGGCCGTCAGCGCGTAGCCATCGCTACCGCGGCCGCTCGAACGGTCTACGCGCGCTCTGATTGGTCGGGGTTTTCTCTTAATATCTCCTTAACGAAGCCCCATCCGACATTTTTGCAAAGGAAATTGTTGTTCAGAATCGTCTCAGCTACCCCCCATTTCCAGCTCCTCCCCGACTTTTGGGACACCCTGTATATTTATTGAATTACATAGGTGCCATTTTGTTCCACACCTTTCCACCTTTTAAGAGATGTATGCATGTTATTTGTTTTCAAGCACTTCAATATATTCAGACCTATACCAACTACCAAAAATCGACATGGACTTTCCGGACAACCCAATATAACCGTCGCTCGGCCTTAGTTTCCGAGATATTTGCACTCTTTGTTCAATTAAAAAATAAATTAGTGTATCATATCTACCGCATATAGTCAAATATTCACGCAAGTTCATTTTTAATCATTTGAAAGCAATCCGTTCAGTAACGACGTCAGTGTCAAACTAATTTTTTTTAAACAATCGACGATTGACGACTCTACGGTTACGCACACACTGCTACAGACGCGTAGCTACACGCAATATTCATTATTGGTAGTAGCAATGGTATTTTGCAAATATCTCGGAAACTAAGGCCGAACGACGGTTATATGTATAGGAAAATGTAGCTCAAAATGTTGATTTCTACAACATATTTAAAAATCATCGAAATCGGTGAGGATGTACCTGTTCTCTATAATTACCCTCACCGCTAGCGAGAGAATTCGCGAGTAGCATGGGCGAGTAGCGAAGGAAAAAGCGAGAAAGCTAGAAAGGAGAGAAAGAAGACGATAAAAGGACGGTATCGATGGCGATGGCGATGGTAATGGTAAATAGTGACGACGGTGGTGGTGGTTGTTGCGAGTGGAGGTGGCGAACATCGTCCGAGAACCCAGAGAAGTGAGCGTTGACCGTGATCGGGAGGGTGCAGAGGGGGTTCGAGGTTGCTCGAGAGGGGAACGAGTGGGGAGAGAAGCATAGTCATCGAGATGCTTAGCCGTTGAACGTGGTTGAACGGTCGTTGATGTGTGCGAGCGTGTGACAAGGAAAGGGACGAAGGAGGACGCGTTGACGAAGAGTGGGGAGAAAGCGGCGACCGAACCGCGGGCCTCCCACATCACGGATCGTCATTCCTAGCCGAGAGTCTTGGACGTTCGCGACGCTTCTCCAGCCCCAGAAACAAGGGATTCGAGCGATTTTTATTTTAACGCGCACGTTTCCACCGTGCTACGTCACGGTTAACGCGTAATCGTGAGTCGATAGTCCGCTAATTAGAACCGAACGCCGAATATCGTTTCCCTCCCTTGACTACCCTCTCCCTTGGAAACTTTGCCTATTCGTTTCCCCCTCCAACTCGTATCCTTTGGCTCGCGTTATACATCCCTCGGGCAGTCGAGAGACAGGGGCAGGGAGAAAGCGCGAACGAAAGTCGGCGTAAAGAGTGGAGAAGGATCAGTGCGAGCACATACGTCGAGAAGGGCGGTTCGACGTAAGAAGTTTAAGTTCTCGATTGGCATCGTTTGGGGAAAGGCCTGGTGTTTGGTACACACGCGGCTCACTTGGGATATATATTCGTTACGTAGCAAGGCGCCGTGTTGTGGTGCTAGCGCGTGTGGGTGTACCACCGGCGTTCCGTTCAGTCCGCCAAAAAGTGAATCGGACGTACCGTAGCGGGACAGGAGACTTGGATCGCCCGACCGTTTCCGATCGACCGAGAAACACGCTCGTTAGAGCGAGAATAAACGCGCAGCTTGCCAGAGGCTCCTTCGCGCCAGCGATTTTACACGCGACTCGTTCCCGTGCTTTTTAGCGAGGATGTCGCACAAGATGCAGGGCCAAGGAGCACCGGTTCACGGGGGCAAATTTCAGGTGAGTCGTTTTTCCCTGGTTTTATTAGGTTGTCCGAAAGGTTTCTTTCGTTTTATTAATAATTAATATATACACAATACTGTATGTTTTATGTTACATTACTGAATTGTGCACGATTCATTTTGCTCCATTACTGTTATTTCTAGTCTAGAGTCTCCATGTTCAAGTATTCTTTAGAATCTTTTTTTCTTCAAATCCAGAAGGAATTTTTCAATGGTTGCATATATGTATATCCATTCATATTTCAAGGAATCAGTAACACGTAGTTTCATAATTCATGCAGTGTTGCGTGTATTAGTGTAACAATGTAATATATGGATGAATGTAATAATATAATAAATAAGTACATAGGCATATACAGTAATATTAGATTGTCCCAAAAGTTTCTTTCGCTTTATTAACACGTTGACTGTCAGAGAAATATTCTTGAAAATTTCTGCTAGGATTAAATATTATTCAGACTATTGGAGACTAAGAGTCTTTGGTCCTTTAGGAACAAGACCTCAGTATATCATTTGTTATCCTTTCAAATTATTTCTTAAAATATTTATTATTATTAATAAATATTCTTAGTATTAGGTTGTCCCAAAAGTTTCTTTCGCTTTATTAATAACTAATACATGCACAATAGTTTGTTTTATGTTACATTACTGAATTGTGTACGATTCATTTTGCTCCATTACTGTTACAACATTAACATCTGAGAAATTGGATCGTCAATTTATATAAACACTGCCACACAAAATTATTGACTGCAAATTACGAAAGAAACTTTTGGGACAACCTAATACTTGAGAGAAAATGAAGTGAAATTAATTCTAAAATTTGCAAATACAAGCTCTGAAAATTGTTGCTGTAATGATTCTGTAGACTTCCTAAAGGAACGTCAACATTTTTGCATTAAGAATTAGAAGTTTCAATGTATATTTTCCAAAAACAATTGACGAATGACAAGGTATTTACATTACTGAATTGTGTACGATTCATTTCGCTTCATTGCTGTTACAGCATCAATATCTAAGAAATTAGATTGTCTATTTATATAAACACTGCCACAGAAAATAATTGAATGCAACTCACGAAAGAAACTTTTCGGACAACCTAAGAGCTCTTTGAGCTCTTTCACACGACGATACGCGTATCGCAATACGCGTATGCGATATGTATCTACTAGCAAGATACTTATGCGATACTGTATCCAACTAATTTCGTAGCTCGATGTTGATCATTTGTTTTTCAGTTAAACATATCTTCTCATTTGAGAAACACGCGTTCTTAGTTAGTGAAAACCTTTCTGAAATAATGGATGAGATTGAAGCTTTATCCATTTGGTTTCTACATAAAAAAGTTGCCGGCGGCCGACCAACCGCGAATACCGAAAATCAGTATCGCGATACTATATCTCGCGAGAATCGCCGTCTGAACGCTTCCATAACATTATGTGTACCATCGGTATCCTGCATACGCGTGTCGTCGTGTGAAAGAGTTCTAATAGTTTCGCGGATCCGTTTTCGCACCTTCCTGCAAGGAATTAGTTTTGGACTGATTTTTTAAAGAAATTAATGGGTTCATTAGTTGTTGACACTGTTGTGATTGAGGTTGGCGAATTGTGAATTCCGTTTAGATCGAGTTTTACTTTTGTTTGAAATTATGTGCCTTAAAGAGAGGAAGACTGCGGGAAAGCATAAATTATGGCGGGAACTAATAATTTACCTTTTACTCCAAAATTTCTTTGAAGAGTATTAACACGTTGATCGCCATGTCACCCATATATGGATGACAGTGCTTTTTACTGAAGAAATACAAAAATTAATTTTGAAAGTTAAATATCAAAGAAAATGAATTTATATGAAATATTTGAATTTCGGTGAAGTTAGAAAAATAAATACCACAATAAATGTTTGATTATGTAGTCTTCAATAGTCAGTAAATAAAATTTAATCGCAGTAGAAATTTTGAAGAGTATTAGTGTGGCAGTCAACGTGTTAATTATTAAACAAGTTATGAACTTTGTGAACTTTTAGTAACTCACCTGGCGGTTTTAATCGTTCAGTCGCGACAGTTTTGTCATTGTACTGAAAAATCACATCGAATATGGACTACAAGTAATACACAAGGCTTAAAGTGTAATCTTTCGAATTGGAGCACGCGACTGATATCGCGATAAAAATAAAAATCGTCTAACACTGGTTTATATAAAAAAAAAAACGATAACGTTAACGCGAAGGGATTAATGAATATATGTATGTAAATGCACGTATGTGTATGTTTCAAACTTTTGCATATGAAATATATTTGCATCGAGATAGAAATAGATGAAAATAAAATAGCGATAGGTTTGTGTTAAAATTTTTGATTCGAAGCGTTGACAATTGAGCGAACGAATTGTAGACGCTTCGAACCAGTAGCAGAAAAGTTTCAGTAACATCGTAGTCAGGTTTTCTATTTAGTATTCATCGATAGAGGTAGAAAACGACGTTCGGTCGCGAACCGCGTTGCGTAACGAGCCGCTTAATTAAAAATTCGCAGCGAAACGTCGTCGGAACGGACTTATCGTGGATTAACGGTTACGTCGTTGTCAGAGGCGATCATCTGATCGCGTGAGAATTAATTAAATCTCAACGGAAGTGCAACCGACAACGGTGTGTGCATAAATAGGATCCCGACAAAGTATCAAACATTTAATATTCAAAATGCAATAATGTTTATTTAAAAATCGACATACTACTACTACAACTGCTGCTGCTACTACTACTAATACTACTACTACTACTACTACTACTACTACTACTACTACTACTACTACTACTACTACTACTAATAATAATAATAATAATAAAATGGTATTAATTCGTGCTAATATTAACATACATCATGAATGAAAACAGACAAACGTATATTAATGATTGTTGAGTACGTCCATACAACATATTCATGTCCATGGTATGAGTCATAGTTGAAACAGCAATGCATTTTATTTCTTGTTTTATTATCCTCGACAACATTCAAGAAACAATAACATACTATATGCGGTTTATAAATAACGCGATAAGCTAGATACGTAGTAGCGAACATATTTAGCATGAGCTCATAATTCATCCTAAAACGATTTAAGATATCAAGAGAATTTTCAAGAAAAGATTTTAGAATATATCGAAGTAATAATAATTAAATGGCAGTGCAATTTTTATTTGAGGATATCCAATTAAACTGCACTGTATTATCCAATAATACGTTCCCTATTTAGAGGCTAATTTGCAATTGAAACAGACGGTTCGGTGAGACTATACAAATGGATATTAATGTCGTCACTGTGGAAGTCATAACGCAAGCACGTGGCGACTGAGCAAACTAACGTGATCGTAAGAACAATTAAACAAATATTTATCGAACCAATACGGGTGGCAGTGCGCAAATTTCTAATACCGTAAGCGTAATATCCTTTGCTAGAAAATTAGTATTCAAGTTCAATATGTGACTCTTTTATGTCGCAGTTAGGATGTGCAGTTATATATTCAGAACAATTACTCCTGCAAAACAATGTTAAAGTTGGAGTTACTAATTCCAATTTTGTAACGGTTTAAAATCTCTTGAAAAGTTACGATTCGAGTAACGATGACTATGATTTCTCTGGATGCTTCCAATGACTCCTAGTATCTACAGTGGGTGTAGAAAGTATTCGTACACCGATCAATTTGTAATTTATAATTTGTAATTTGTAATTTATTAACTTATTTTTTATAAACAATGACATTCTACATGTTCTAGGAAATCTCTAGAATAGATAGATTACAAAAAAAAAAAACAAATAGCTATTTATGTAAGTTGCGAAATTAACAAAGAATCAACAATTAATCGATAGAAATATTGAAGCAATAAGTATTCGCACTACTGTTTAAAAGTACTTGACTGGAAATTTGATGTTTTCTAATTCGCACGGAGCAATAAACTAATGTGTTTACGTTACAAACTCTGCTGTATATGGTTCGTCATAAGAATCGTACAAATACTTATTGCTTCTATACTTTCACCCACTTTTCGCATTTTTTTGTTAATTTCACAAATTATATTAACTTGTAAATGTTGCTTGGACTATATCTATCTTAGAGACTTCCGAGAATATGTAAAATATCATTGATTATAAAAAAGGAAGTTAAGAAACGGCAATTTCACACAAAAGTTTTTTAGGAAATTGATCGGTGTACGAATACATTCTACATCCACTGTATCTCTGGTATAGTTTCCCTTGCAACTCTGTCACCGTCCGTTGACTTGTCTATCAGAACGGATGAACTCGTCAATCGATAGATTGTGTCGAGTTAAAGTGCGAGCATATGCTTCCTCAAAGAGTTTCATTAGAATGGTTTGCTTTCATTTGTTAGGAGTGGTCAGTGCTTGGCACACTCCACGTTCTCGATGGTACGTAAAGTATAGTTACTTTGCATCTCACGGGGTATCCATTCCAAAATATTTTGGTGAAATGCTTTATTTTATCTAATACAATTTAATTTGAAAGTGAACTTGGTAAGTTCTAGTGTTAAGGGGTTAATCGCAGTCAGGAAAATGGAAACGGACAGTTTCTTGTGTTTTTTTTTTAAGGTATTAAATAATAATTTTTATTAACGAAATGTAAAGATGTTACAAAGTATGTCTTAAAGAACTATAAAAGAATTTTCGTTTTAAAAAAAGGTTAATTCATTTGGTCATAACGCGATTGCGTGGGTGGCCATTTGGTTTGCGGTGAGCATAATTTCTCCAAACTGATACACCTGGAAACAAAATTAAAGGTAAATTTGGAAAATATATTAGACTAACGGGTCCCCGATCGAAGGATTTTTTATTTTCTTGTATACTTTTTTTTTATCCTGTATCGAATCGCTTAATTTTAGGGAAAAAATTGAAAATCAACTCTCAAATGTACGCCATCTTGTTTTAAATTAATTTTTTCCAAAATCCTAGACTAATCTGTTTTCGAAATCTACCTTTGTTTTTGTTTTCAG